AAGACTGCAACCCTTCACAAAGCTTCCACTGTAATATTCGATTTCAAACTGCTCAACAGCAAAAATCACCTCTTGATTGTAAAGTATGAATGATTGACTCTTTACATTCAAATACGAATGAAAGCCAGCTCTTCAAAATGCGTTCGCAGACTCTAACAAAACTGGTGCCGTTACATGTATGAAATTGTTTTTTAAATAAGCACAATTTGAAAGAAAGCAGAAAGATAAATACCGACATGCAAACGAAATGGAAACAAATACAAATACCCAGTTTGAGATATCCTCGCAGGATGTCACCGCATCGCTTTACAACCTAATTAATTACTTCAAATTTGAAATGAGCATCGTGTTAATCGTCGAGAACATTTTTCGGAATGTACTGCAGGCTCACTGCTCTGCTATGTTAAATATTTTAATCCCGATATTTTTAGGAATTCACCTCAAATTCCACAATATTGCCGTTTTAGCATGTTCCGAGTGATATGGTTTAAGTCACATTTGCTTTGCTAGTAAAATTAGCTCACCGCTTTTACTGGATTGACAAGCATGCTGACTGCCGACTGCGCCAAGTAAGAACACTTACGCGTTGATGCAGTACTCTGTATAAAAGTATAAACTTGCGGCTCCTATATATTTTTCTGGTCGAAAACCAATTTGGATATAATGTAAACCTTTAAATAAACAGTCAACTTACTTAGAAGGTTTTTGTCTTTAAGATGCGATGAAACTTGCAGCTGTGCCAATTAGGACATTTTTTTGTTCCAAGATGTTTCAAATACCCATTTTCCAACAACTTCCTACATAAACTGCCTTCTTAACCTTAATTTCAGGACCTTTTCCATAAATTTCTTAACAAAAACACAGCCGATCTTTTCTACTCTGAATTACTCAGTAATGAAATTCAGCCACTCCATAAAATGCAAAAAAAGCGAATGTAAAGGTCATACGGGCACTTTCAAATAATCCCACGTTTGGGATTGCGTTGAATGGTTTTAAACATGAGGGCGTTTAATTGACCTAAACGGGAACCCACCCGAGTTTTTCCTGTTTTTCAATTCTTTCAAAGCGATATTTTGAATGAAAACCGAATATTAGGTTTTAGCGAAAAGGTTTCGCCTGCAAAAAATAATGCGTTCTTTAAATAATTATGAATTTCTCGCACGCACGCAAGTAGTTGGAAGAATAGAAAAAATTAACTTACTCCGCTTCTATACAGGATATTATCTAGCATCCAAATTTAAAACACAGGATGAACTCTTACAATTAATTTTAAATAGTAAACTGAAATATCTCTACCGGTTCCTTATTAAACCAATCCCAAAAATGCGACAAAAATTCGAGACTGATGATACAATGCGGAAGTAGTCGCAAGTTCTACTTACGGTTTTCGCTTATTTCGAAAGATCCACAAATGCGACAGAAAGTTGTTTATTTTAGATTTTAGCAGATTAGTAAATAGTGAGCATAAATTAGCCTCTAATGATCTGTCATTTCGAAATAATACTTTTCTATAGAGCTTCCTGTTATTCAATCGATATCAGATCTAATAATTATTAATATACTAATAATACTAGTAGATTACTTAGTATGTGCTTTTTAAACTTGAGAAATGTAAAAAGTCGATTGCACAAGGACATTGGGAAAAACTTAAACTTGTCTAACTTATCGAAACGGTTTGGACTAAGGACGATTTAGCTTTGAAAACTTTTTACACGCTTCATTTGTGCCCTTTTTCTTTTATTAATTGATAAAGAACTATATTTCAAAATCATATAAATCCTAAATTTAACATTACTTACGTGCTAGATCTGAAACATTTGCCATTAATTTGTAAATTCTACCGAATATCTCCACTAAAGAAAGCCTTTCCACTTTATAACGCTTTGGTTTGAATTAATGAAGCTTTTTTCGCTTCTCCGAATAGCCACCTTAATCGCGCAAAAGTCATTGTCCCTTGGCAGGAAAATTTCCCCGAAGAAGGAGAATTTATGGGTTTAATTTACCTTTAATAGAAAGTTTCCATTTGAATGTTTGTTAGGCGTGCGAGGGTTTTCCTATTTTTGGCCTGTTCGGATCTCTTCTTTTTAAAGGAATAGTAGTTATGCTAGTCAGAAAGGTCAAGCAAATAAATTGAATTAAGAAAAAAGGCGTGAAACAAGAAATACATGGACATGATTAAGCTAATTAATGAATTTTTTGTGTTAATAATGACAATATGTAACATTTTGTTGATTATCCAGTAACGACTACAAGGTTGTTTAAAATTTTAAAAATTACTTTTATTTTGCAGGGATTAGAAAATACCCAATGCGCATTTCATAAATTCCAAACAGTCCAGTTCATACACATTTTTTGTTCGCACACCCATTGTGGATACCGGCCATTTACCCAGTGTTAATTGCAACTGTTTTTTCGTATGTTTTTCTATTGTCTCTGTGCGTGCACATAAATATAATTTATTGATGTAAATATAATCAAGCAAAGTCAATTTATACTTACATTTTAAGTATCAGTAAAAAAAGTCGACATTGAGATTGCTCTTAAATTTATTTAGAAGCTTTGGATTTTTACAGCTTATCGATCGCTGTTATCATTCAAGTTTCTGATTTTTAAAAACTGAACTCTAATTTTTTGAACCCTGCCAAACGATTTCGAAACCTCTCTAGACATGATTCCAGACAGGTTAAAGTAAATATATGTATTTTTCGGATGTTGTGAAACCTATGAGCTGAAAGCAAGATGTTTTCTCTTTTTTTAAAACGGAAGCGAGAATTACTAATAGCAAGTTGAAATAACAAATTACTAATAGCACTCTTGTAGATTTTGCATCTGCCTGTGTCAGTTTTATACGACTCTCAAAGATAGGTAGTTAGTTACTTAAGGATAATGATTTAGAAAGATTGAATGGATCTCAAAAGGCTAATAACAAATAAAACACACTTGCAACATCCCGGTAGTTATCAGTCAGCACAATACCCCTATAGTCATGTTTCTGAGCGACAATTTTACCGGGTAACTTCTATTTTTACTAAGCAACACATCAGGCTAATAGGTGCTATGGAGTTTTTATTTTGGACCGACTTATAAAATCGTCCAAATGGATATGGCAGCCGACTACATTCCACCGTTGGGCTATTTTTAATTCCCCGAGGCGCCGAATGATGGAACGAAGTTGGTGAAACGCGACGTAGTTCCTTCAAACTGCTTAAATTTCGTGGAATTTTTTGTAAACTTTACTGTTGTGTGTTTGTTGTGGACGTTCGTATCTTGTTCGGCAATTCCGGTTAATGACTTTGACTTCACGAAAATGGAAATGGCTTTCAAAGAAAGTCGTTTCAGCGTTACTGGCTGGAAAGGTACCTGTTGCTAATTTGCGAGTTTTGCTAGTTTAAGCAAAAATGTTTGCCATAAAAACATCAAATTGATCATTTTGTGATTGCATGACAGCAACGTGATATACAACTTAACATTTTTCATCATCTGCGATAACATTGCAACTTTTCCATTGCGGGGAAATGTTTGTGCCAAATATTCTCATGGCGGATTTCATAACATCCCAGCATAATATTTAGATGCAATGTTATTATGAACGAAGATGCGCAAAACTAAAAAATAACCGATAAAAACGCAAATCTTAAACTTGTCGAAATAGCTTTTGCGTATTGTGAAAAACCAAACAACACACAGCCAATATAAATATAAGTTCAATAACTCAAGTTGACAAGAATAAAAGCCAACAGCGACATTGAAAATTTAAATGTCGAATAATTTTCTAAAGGTTCACGGCAATCTAAATAAACATCATTTCAAAATATGATGTTGAAAGGATTTTAAATCCATCTGAAATTAGATGCGGATCAGTGAGATTTGGAATTTCGCTGCAATACAGAAGGCCACGTTTCAATTAATTCCTGTGACACTTCCGTTCTTCGCTTTTGAATATGGATTAAAGAGCAACACGTTTTTGTCTTGTACAGTTTATATTAAGAACAATAGTTTTTAAACAAGAAATTTACCCTTTAACGACTTGTCGCTTCTAAATTGGCCTGTAGGCGCATTTCGTCCACTTTCTCACTACTTTTCAGGATGGCTTGTTGAAACGGCAATTGAAACAATAGTTGTTCATAAAATTTCTCGGCAATTCAATTAATTTATAGGCGAATTAAATATATGCCGGTTTATTGGTTTCAAAGTTGGCTTTTTTACTTCTTTCGTTCTTGATTGAGTCTGAATCAATTAGTTATTTTACACATACAATTTAGTTCAAATTTATCAATGCTAATTCAAATAATTTATGTATGATCAATTTCAATTTTATGTTATGGATTTTTCATAAAATTGGGAAATGACATTTTAAAATCAACTCTGCTTTTTCTAACTTCGTTGCAATCTCCACATTCAATAATCACCTCTTGCCTACCTATTTGGTATCTTAAACTCAGACAGTGTAATAAACTGTTTAATCCTTTACGATTTGTTAAAGCGTTCTGCTTGATATTGCTGTAACACAATTATAGTGGCAAGTAAAACGTTGAAAATGACTGAGTTAAGTCCATTTTGAGATATATTTCCTTGAAAGAAATGTAGGACCAGATTTTACTAAGTTCATATTTATGAAAAATTAAGTTACAATTATCGAAAAGTATAATAAAAATAAAATATAAAACAAAATAAACACGGTCCCCTTTAGTATCATATTATTTTATGAATGAATGTTTGTTCTTTCGACATGCCATTCAAAGCTGATGCTCTATCACCTATCTACGTCAAGTGTAATCCACTGCTGTTTACGTATATTTGTACAAGGATAAGATACCCGGAATTAATGCATTTATTAATTATCGCTAACTGTAGTTCAGTGAAACTGAAAAGAATCTTAATTTCTCTTAAATGACCTTCTTGGCATGACGTAGATTTTTCTGATTCAGGCATATTTTCGCCTTAACATTCCAGGTCAAATAGCTTTTTAACTGATACTCAATATTTTTTTATTGTTTCAGAATATGAAGACTGAGGACAAGAACAACATCCCAAAGGTTCGAATTGCTGTAATAGGAAAGTCCAACGTCGGCAAATCAGGTAAGAATTAAATTGATTACTAAATATTTATTGATTATACGTTGGGAACATCGCTAAATTGAGTCTTTATACATCTTTAACATGCAAGAGTTTGCTATTTTTAAACTCTAAATAAGGTGATAAAAATGAACCAGGAACACCAATGAGTCCAAGATAGACTGGCCGTCTGAAAAATGACTTCAAATTCTTTGACTGGCTTCTAACAGCAAAACTGAAACCGTGCCAAACAGTTGGTAAATGTCATCCATCGACCAATTAAATGGCTTATTATATTTGGTCAATAAAAATAATTACTGTTTGAGTTGGTATCAATGAATCTCAATGATTATGAACCGTTTGTTAGTCTAACCTTTAAAGAACTACGCAGCTGGGGTTTTATTCCATTGTTACTGTTGACTTTCGAATGTAGGATAATTGAACGAGTTCGGGACTTGTTTTGGGCGTTATCAAAACCGTTACACAAATAAATTTGACATGAAAAAATTTAGGCAAGCTTACTAGTTCAATGGGTATTTTTGGCACAAGATGTTTTGTATTTTTTAATGGAATAGTCGACCCACTTCTCGCAAAATGATCCTATTTGTCAGCACTCACTTTTTTAAATTTGCACATCCTGTTAACACGTCAGTAGTAATAAAAGCCCTGTTTTAATGTTCAGCATAAATTTTCAATTCAGTACTAAGAACCGCGTTTACTGCTTTGTTGGCTATTTTCTGGTTAACCAAGGAATTTTTTGGACTCAAAATCAATAACTATAAATATTGCCGTAAAAAAGTAATACTTAATAATCTAGATAAGATTGGATCTATTACTTCTCTAAACTATAGTTTAACGTACAAACACATTCATTTTATATGAAAATTATTAGTTTCAATCCATTCGAGCTTAAGACATAAAATATTGTTAGCCAAAATGTTTTTGAAGTTTGTTGGAATATACATCAAAGATTTAATAAAATGGGGGTATTAAATATATCAAATTTCTGCTGTATATGGTTTCAACTTAAATAAAAACATAAATCGAATTGCCTGTGGATCTGGAACAAAGTTTTCCAGATATAAATGCTGAAGTTACTTATCTCTAAACGCGTACATTTTTTTGCAAGAAAGATGAATGGCGTCAAAGAACTAGTGAACTTTGCCTTTCCACTCCGTTTCAAATTTTCCATTAATATTTCTTTATTGTTTGCTCCATCTAAAAGTAGGTAAAGCACCTCGTTGAAAACTGAAGTAATAACGAAAAAGTGGGTCGATTATTACAAGCAACTTTTCAGATTTACCATCTTTGATGTGCAGTAATCCAGATTCTGAAATTTGCCTTGTCTTGTGCCAAGATAATTTTAGTACATCGACTCAAAGGCATATTTTCACACACTCACTTCAAGTGTGTCAATATCTGCATTTCGAATTACACAAGTGTAAAGCAAATACAGGAATGTTTATAATCAAAAGGAGTAATTCATTTGGTAGCGTTTCAGCTATGTATAAGTTGTTATTGGGCCTGTGTTCATTTTTTTGAATCTTTGATATTTTGCGAAATATGCGAATTTATTAATATGACTCATAAATCCCAATTATCTTGAAGCAGACATAATATTGATCTTCCAGATTCAGAAAATTGGGAAATGTTCCTGTTTGTTTGTATAATTCGTTTTTATCACTGAAAATCGGGGTTCTCCCGTTAGCCAATTAAATTTATCTTTTTGCGCATTTGTGTTTCAATACACGTGACCTAATTTTTCAAAACATTTTGGGTTGAGGCCGAATAACGCTTCTATCAAGAAGCCAATCTCCAAAACAACCTTGCATTTTTCTTTTAAAATTTACGAGCGTATATTGGGTAATCCCGATACAAAAACCTATTTACTCAACTTCAATTCTTTTTCAGCTCTCACCGTGCGTTACCTCACGAGAAGATATATTGGGGAGTATCGAAGCAACACAGGTAAATTATTTTAACGAACCTTTAGAGTAAACTGAACCATTTAATGCTTATTGCATTTTACTTGCTACATAAAGTTTGCCAAATGTTGACCAATCATAATAACGATTTTTAACTTTGAAGTTACGCGCAACTTTCAGGCTTCATTAACTTCCGCAACTGCTGTTATGATATGTAAAAAAATGGCCTTTAAATGTCACACTCCACTTTGTTACACGTGTTATGTTAAATTTATAGTTTTTATTATATCATACGAAACGCCTCATTTGTATTGCAAGCCTTCAAGCGAATGTTGGCGAAAATGTAATCTATAGCGTTGTGCTTTATTTTCAGACATTGCTGGCTGGTCTATAAAGTATTTCCCTTAATTTTTGTAGATAAAAGTGGCAATACGAAAAAATTGTTGGAAATTATTGTGTGATTACTTTTCCTCGTGAATTATTTGATCAAATCATTAATGAAGTAATTACAACTGACATCAAATTGCGTATATGGGAATTTTTTATTTTGGAAAACATTGTCAAAATCCATCAAGACTCAACTGATTAATAACATTTCTTAAAGCCTTTAAGTAAAGTCAGATTAAATTGATCCTCGGACTCCCTATATAATTTCTATCAAATCAATCAGATCCGCTGTTGAAACCAACTCATAATAAAAATATTCATCATTTAGCATTGTTAATAAAACGAAATGTTTCAATCACTTGTTGCTGTTGATTTTCTTAAAGTTGCAAAACTTTTTGATGCCAAGGTGAGCTATGTTTGAAAATAAAATTCTGACTAGCACCTGAGGATTTCACAGAAGCGATTATTCACTGGACCGACGTTTCTGACGTTCGGCTCCTCAAATCGAATCATCACTCAACACAAAGTAATTACTGTAATGAGGCGTTTGTTTATTCATTTAAAAGTTGCCCAATCTCTTCCATTGGCCCAAATTAATTTGGCGTCGTCTTTTTAGCTTCAGTGTCCCTTTATCAATCCCTGTAGGTTAACTAAATTTAAAAAATTATACTTTCTAAATGAAATAACATTAATTTTTGATGGATGGTTTGAATCGCGTTTAAGGGCAGCCCTGTTTACATAGATATGATAACATAATTATTTTATCTAGGTATTAGGAGTTAAACTTCCTTTATATGTTATTGCAGTGCTATCAATTTACTGCACATTGATGAAGCACTTTATCTAAGGCTATAGTAACTGCTATCTAATGGAAAAAATTCTCTAAAATGCGCATGTAAAACCAACAGATAAATACAGATTGTACTGTTTTAATTTTAGCGACTTATTAAAAGCTGTCAATATTGATTAACAAAGACATTCCAACATAATTTTCATTTTTAATCATTGCCCACACAATAGGATTTTCCAAGCCGCTAATGCGTCCTTGTTGCCGATGGATAAATATTGATTCAAGTGAAAATCATTTTTGTTTCCTCTATTATAACTTCATATCGTACCAAGTAGATTTTCTAAATACCGAAAAATTAATTTTATCTCTGGCAACATCAACTTTTGTAAAACGATGCCAATATTTTGCACGCTGTGCTTTAAAAGTAGATTTTCGTCTGCTGCCTGAAATTTCTTAAATAATTTTTCAAAACCCAACAGGGATTTCTAAATATTTGAAAATTTACAAACAAAATTCTATCATAGAGTTGTGCGCACTTGTGCGTCGTTTGAATGATGTGTTGAATGTATGACTAAGCCATATATTTGCGCTGCAAGTTTATAATGGTGATTAAAAGCTTCAGTTCAATTGTTTAGCTTTGATTTTTATAAAATATTGCAAACATGTATGTCAGATATCATCACTAGATCTAAGTGAATAACGCAAAGTAAGAAAAAGCTATTAATTATAACACTTTTATCTATACTTATTTAGCATGTATATGTTACAGTAAATGTGGCAATATTTAACGCGTATCATATAAAATCGCATCTACGTTTCCACAAATGTCATTGATTTGAATATTTGAAAATATACCAACTGACTCCTTTTACCGAAATTGACTTAAACTGTCCCAAACAGATCTGAACTAAGTATGACTCGCAAATAGTAAAGCAATAGCAAAAGACAAAACAACAGAAAATGATCAGCAATACAAAGATAGAAAAAAAGTTTTCAGAAATAAAATGACTAGAATGCAGTAAAAACTCATAAAAATAAATTGAGAGAAAGTTTAAAAATAAGCATACCAATTAGTTTTTCACGAATTACTGATTTTTTACAGAAAACTACAAGAACAAAGGTCTAATATAATTTTCTAAAAGGACTCGAATCAATAACCATTTGAATGTAAAAAATGGGTGGCTAACTAGCTTCTCTTAACAATTAGTGCAAAAAGGTCAGTTGAAAAGCAGAATTAATTAGAAAATCTTCAAGCTCTAAATTTCCTAGAAACTGAACGACACCTGGAATTTAAACCGGTTTTTATTCAAATGTGCTTTAAAAGATATAGAAAATACGCTTTAGGGTTTAATATTGTTGAAACCAAACTGTTACGCAAAAAAACATTTTTTAAGTTAGAAAAATATAAATAAATATTTCAGCTGATCAGCTTAAATTTTATTGTTTAATGCATAAGTTTTAAGACTCTTTGCCAAAAATCCAAATTTAAATGAACTGTACAAAACGTTAATTAAAATTTCTCCCCAGAAAGCTTGTATATTCTGCTTATTCCACTGATAACAAGCGCTACTTAAACAAATTAAATAAACTCAAATCAATTAGTAAAAAACTGATAAAACATGCTATAATAGAACATCATAAAAGGAGAAAAATGTAGTGTTTCTGAAAACCGTTATCCATCTAAATTTACTAGTATTTGGAACATTCATTCAGCTTTGTTCAGCAAGCCATCCAACGGGTGGGTGAATAATAAATATTTCCATAATGTTACGGACAGGCTTTCTAACAATCATAATCATTGATTAAATTATAAGGCAGCCCATACATGAGCCAAGCAAACAAAGGAAATAGTATATCAAGCACATATCAGCCGATAAAAATATATTGGCATTACCGGATAAGCATACAAAGTCAACAGCGAGGTACTTTTTTATTTTCGCAGTAAAATTGTGCCCTTTAACGGAAATCGATATTTCTACCTTGCAAATTTAATCACTTCATAAATATGTTGATTTTTTAATTGCTGTTCAATGGTTAAGGCCTGGAGTATACAATTCCATCTTATGTCTATTATTTCAGCGCTGTAAGGAGTGAATCAGGCAGGGAGAGAAAATTGTCAGATTTATTAAATTATTAAAAGTAGAAGTAAAACATTTTCTATAAAAAAATGCTATTCAACATTATTATGGACGAAATAATACGACAAGTTTAGGGAGGGGAAAAAAGGAAGATGATCTGCAGAGGCTTCTTTGTACATTTAACACAGTTGCAAGAACGGTCGGGATGACAATATAAATCGGGATCAATCAAAAACGCTCGGGATGAGGACAATGTAATACATCTAATACATCGAAACAGTTGAAAAATTAGAGCCTAAACAAATTCTTCGAGCTTTCTTATCCAGTCCTCAATTTATAAAATTAGATTTAAAATTGAATTGATCCAATTTGAAGTAATAAAAGAAAAAAGAAAAGAAACCAATACCACACAAGTAATATTTGATTAATTTTCTGACATAGGTAAACAGATGAAATTTAACAAAATATGATCAAATTAAATTGAGTACGATGTCCCTTAAATGCCAGGTTACACGTAGTGGCGGTAACAATTGCGGTGGAATTTGCGGTAGCGTTCAGACGTGACTCGTTAAAATGGAATCTGCGTTGAAAGGCCACATGAAAAAATCGAAATTAAATATAAATGAAAAGTATTTCAGGAATGCTTTTTGATGGGTACCTCAGTATGTCTGTCTTCTTCTAAATAACGCGTTATGTTTTAGTGGCTTGGTGTCGCAGCAAGTAGATTTGGAAGAGAAAAAATGCAATTTTGCTAATATATATCTTAAAAGTGGACTACACGAAGTATAAAAATACTACTGCTAAAGTATGGATTTCAGAGTTCAAATGCACCTATATCGCTGCTAACGTATAAGTTTCAAACTTAAATTCGTACCAAATAGGATCTAGTGCAATAAACTATTAATTTTCCTATATCTGGGTCAGCTAGAATTCGATACTCGTTGGCAAGAGTATTTAAGTTTGTTAAAAGCTACAACAACGTCTGTTAATTATTTTTCTTGTAATATATGTTTGAATCAATGATCCCATTCCAGTGCATGTGGTTCCGCAATAAAAATAATCGAAACCATAAAAAAATCTTAAACGAACGAAATTAATTRAWATATCTCCAAATGATTAACGCAAATCAGTTACATTAYTGAATGAGCAATACATAAATAAATGAAGGAAGGGTATGATATAACCGTCAATATTTCACGCTTGATAAATGACCCGGGAAATAAAAATAACCCAGCTAGAGTTCAAATACCGGTTTTAGTTCATGGCGTTGTTCAAATTGTACAAAAGCACCGGCAGATTCTCACAAAATTTGCCTGTGTTTTGACGCATTACCCGCGTCAGCATCCAAACGATATTTTTAAGTTATAGGTAAATTGTACAGGAGAAAGGTTTTCATTGAATAAACACGCAAAACTAATGTTTACAACTCCATCCACGCTATATTTGGACGTTTATGAATTCGAAATTAGACGTATACTCATCGCTTCTTGATTTAAGATCGCTTCCTAGATGTTGTCATCAATAGTTTCGAAGTTTTACACTGGTTTTCAATTAAGAACCTTATACATTATGTTTTCCGTAGCGTTAATAATACGTTTTGGCTATTCTATCACAACCCACGCCACACTAACTTTCATATACACGTTAGATGCCTGGATGTATTTATATAACTTCTGTTAAAAATATTTTGCTTTCGTACAACCTTTCAACTTGCTCAGAAAATCTGAAAACGATTATCCACAATAAATGTTTTTTTGTTTACATGTATATTAGCTCCTGACTAATTGAGCTGGAACGCTTCATGCTTCAATGAATGAGTAACTCTTAGAACCGTCTAATAAATAATGATTCCTAGTTTGAAAATAAATTGAAACCACAAAGAGAATTAACGTTGTATTTGTGCAAGGTCGGGAACTGAGTACACATTCTGATTGTTTGCTTCAGTTCACTATTTTACAGTTTAATAAACGTATCTATGCTGTGAGTTAGAGCTAAAGATGGTTTTCCTCTGCTTTAATTGGTTAGGGTTTAAGACCTGGTGCTAGGAATATTTCGAATTATTTACTCTGGGATTCGTAAGACTTGCACAATTTCTGCATATTCAAGACCTTTCCAATGGCAAAGGTGTCCGATTTGTTCATTCCTTTATTTTCCATCTTTAAAAATTAATCTTCACCAGTCATCACTTCGCACTTTCCACCGAAATTTTAACCAAAAATTTCAATTTATAACCCTTACTTTTTACTTTAAAAGATTATTTTCGATTTAAGTTATCTGTTCTTCAGTGCGTATGACTATGAATAATTTAATTTTATACGGCTTTAAGTTTAAGACTTCAAAAGACATTTAGTAAAAGGAATGTGAAATATTATAACCGATAGTCTGATATAAGATCTGAAAATTACTAATGTTGCACTTAAAAGCACTAATAAATGAATCTATTCCGTAAATTTATTATGCACATTTTGACAAAGAAATATTAATGCCCCACATTTTATTTATAGCTCCGAAGTAGATGCAAGCAAAACTAACTGGCGCTAAATATTTGACCTAATTGCTTTATACTATCTATCGTGGAATTCCTCTTTTACCTGGTCATCCTTACCAGCTTGTGTATTTAATTTGGCCGAAATTCTTTGGTATAATATATAATTCCTTGTGTAACTAACTGATATAAATTCAGCGGCATAAAACGATTGTTTATAATCAGGAAAAGATTTAATGCACTAGATCGGCGTTGGCAAATTTTATTACATCTTTAGTGTTCAGATGAGGGCCTCATGTGTTGTGTAAATATTGACAATTCGTTACTTTGGGAATTTGCATAATATTAACTATTTGAATGAAAGATTTGAGCCAATTGATTTCAAGCTATTTATTTTGTTCCAACCGATGTTTCCTATGCAGGAGAAAATTAAATTAAATTAAAAATCAATTCAGCATATGTGGTTCATAAATATTGTATATCCATTCATGAGAATCTTTAATAAACCCCAATTTTCTGGAAAAACTGTCCTCCAATTTTCCATAAGATAATTTTTTCCAAGCGCGTACAGAAAATAAATTTTTTAAAGTACGACAAACTCCTACTATGCAAAATTCAATTACTCCTGTTTATTCAGAAACAATCCCGGACAAACATTCATTGAAAATCCAGCATTGTTTTACAATATACTCAGCCACTTTAAATTAGAACCTACTAATTTTGAAAATATACATTTACGTAAGTTGTAAACATGAAAAATCATGTGCATGATTCAATCCTATTAACAACTAAACATTAACATTTTTCTCCAATTTATATATGCTGTTTCCAAAGTGTTTTCAAGGAAATGAACACGCATACCTCATTATTTTGATATTTAACGAGGAATATTCACGGACCGTTTGGTGCTAAATATTCACATTTAAGATTTTTTGAGAATTTATTGCATTTGCAATTTTGCTTTGTCATTTGACCGGTCGGATTTACATTCATAATGACAATTTTACCACGCTACTGGTCGCAAAATATTCAGACTTCAAGGATGGGGGTTTCGAAAATTTCCAGAAACCTGACTTTTAATTTGGAGATACATATTTATTTCGATCAAATATATTTGGCGCCACTCTGGACTTTGTTGAAATTTATTCGCCAAACTATTTGATTTTATGACACATACGCAAATGATTTAAAGCCAATTTGCTATATCAACTTTTTTTTAAATTTATGTATGGCATGCTGTCAGGAAGCTTGTAGGCTGTTGGAATAATTTTCGAATTTACCTTTATAACAACATAATTTTAACTAAATTACTAGCAATTCAAGGTGGCAGTTCCCAACAATGACGATAAAATCCCAACAAGTTCATTATTGAACTTACTACAGGAAAACCCGAACATTTGCGCGAAATTAATTTACACAAGCAAAATTGTGTTTTCAGAAGCGGCAAAGACATTTCCCAACTGCTTCGGTATTGTTTGTTTGAATTGTTAAGAAGCAAAATATTCATTTTATCGAATATGCATTGAAACCACCTGTTGCGTGAGGAATTCCCGACCATTTTTCCCGAAGAGTTAACAGCCAGAAATCACAAATAATTTATAAAGCAATATTTCAGCCAACATTCTATTTTCATTTTTCGATTATTATCACTTGTTGCACCATCTACAACTAGTGCCCGAGTTTCCAAACAAACACTCACAAAAATAAATTTAACCTTCAAGTGTTGTGTCTGAAATTTAGAACATTATCAAATTTATAGAATATATTTTATAATGTCCTTCCATCAAAAATAAACGCTTTCCTATAGCGCCCATATAAAATTACATTTGACACTAAATTACGCACCTGCCACAAAAAAAATTGCAACGGTTTATTTATTTGAATACAAACACCAATATTTAACAAACTTTTAAACAGTAATAAAATCTGAAAGCATTCTCTTCCGTGTTTCACAATAGAATTTTTCGATGTGAAATTTAGATCGGCCAATATAAACATAATTTACTTTAAGCTGCTTTAGAACGTAGACTCAGATTCTAACAATACGCTTGGATACTGGTCAGTTATTTCCAGTTATTAGAAAAATATTAATTTTCGAACGTAAATATTTGTAAGATCATTTATTCGTGAAATCCTATTCATTCGTTTACTACGTAGAAAAATTAGATTATAATCTGTTTCGCAGCGTAAATGACAAATTGCTGATTGAAGAAGAATTGGGCGCGAATTGTTTATTTATTCGTGATTGATTATGGAAAAATTAAAATTGGTTTCAGTGTGCGATATGAAACGCATTACACTATTAAATATGCAAATTGTTGTTTAATGGAAACTTATTTTATTACTATGCACTTACTCATTGCTCACTAGCGATCCTAATAAAATTTGCTTTAAATTTAAAAGTATTTAAATTAATTTCAAGGGAAGATTACACAATTGAACAACCTGCATCAAGCCAAACTGTGTGACTTCGTTATTGCAAAATAGTTTCGGCTTTTATGTTATGAAAGTTTCTCTTTATCCTCAAGTGAAGCGATAAGGGTTTTTTCTGTCTTTGAATTGTATTTATTTTTATTTTAAGGAAAAAATTAAAATATATTACAAAATGTAAAATAAGCATTTTAAAAAGCAATTTGTTTCAATTAAAGAAAAATAGCTGATAGTTTAGATTTAAAGCTCATTTATCATAATAAATCAATATACCGATTAGATTTTTCATCACAACATTTTTCCACAACTGCAATTTATTTTTTGTTAAAAAAAAAGTTTGGAAGCTTTATACTCAACAGCTTGAACGAAATATAGCAGAACTTCAAGCTGTATGTTAATTAAGCTAATGCTCAACACAGGAAATCCCATTCACGTTTAACGCGAAACATACAGTGATTAAAATAGTAGTTTACCCATCTATTTAAAACTTTTTTTTGCAAAAATACTGGATCAATACGCACTCTATGTAAACAATTATCACGCGCTTGTAGATAACTCGGTTTTGTTTTCAAGATTCCTTGCAAATCAACAAGTTGTCACTCACAAGTGTTCAATAATCTAGTCGATAAGATAAGTTATTGTAATTATAAAATACGTTAATTTATTATTCACAGAATAATGTCGACTATTTATATCTTCATTATATTTGTGTTTTGCCGTATGGTATATAGTCTGTATGGTATGAAAAGTCAACATTTCAATCTCAAAAGTAAATACTTTAAGCCAGTCTGATTGTTACATGCATTCTTTAAATTATTTCAATGAGAATGTGTTTATTTATATAAGCTCCCAAATATGTGTGATTATTATAGAACAAAAATTTTCTTTCTTTTGAATATTGGCAAATAGGTTAAGAGGTCAAAATGTGGGAATAATATCAATTGTTATTATAATTAGTAGTGGATATTGGCGAGGAAAAAATATTTATATTCGTTAAAATTGGCGTGGTTTCTTCTGATGAGAGATTTGACATTAAACTAAATGTTAAAAGTGAAAGTGGCGTATTTATAAATCACCCACCAAAAAGTTTAATGAATTCAGTTTCATTACGCAACAATCAATATATTTATGAGTTTTATTAAATGAAATTGATGTCTTAATTGATTTATTTCACTTTAAACATTAATTAGTTTGAAGCGTGATTTTTAAACATTATTGGTTTTTTGAGTGAAGATATATTAAAAATCGTGACATAATATAGCTTTTTAAATTAAAATTTGAATGAAATAAACATTTTTAAAAATTGTTGTTTTTTATCGTTCTAGATCTTCTGTACAAGCAAACGCTGACAGTGAACAATACATCGCTGGAAGTCGAGATTGTGGATGTATGCAGCTGTGATTTAGAAGCTTTTCCAGAAGAGGCGATTCACTGGGCTGATGCTGCTATCGTTGTTTATGATATAACCTGTAGACATTCGTTTGAACAAGCCACCGAAATGCTGAAGAAAGTCTTACAGTTAAGGACACAAATTCCAAGGGTACTGCTGGGAAACAAAGCTGATCTCGAGCATCTCCGAAGGGTAAATATTAACTTTTTCTTGGAATGCTTTTTTGAAAGATTCATTTTTATTTATTAATTTTCATAATTGAAGAGTATGTGATAGTCATATTGTTAAAATTGGCTATTTTCTATCAATCTTTTATCTGCAAGTGAGATGCTGCAATATTTTTCCAATCCTTCTACTAATATATTCCCTACGAGCTTTTATCCGATTTATTATCCTAGTGGAAATATCCTTAAAAAGTCCTGAGCAGTTTGGAAATGATCTTTTGTGCAGAATTTTAACTGCTTACTTTTGACTAAAATTGCTTCTTAAGTTTTGATATTTAGCTTCGATTTTATAAGAATGTTTTCGAATCAAATTTAAATAGTAAACGATTGAGGATTCCTAATAAGATAAAATTTTAAGTATTTTATTGTTGTTTTAATGTATTTGATACACTGTAGACAGTATCAAATAAAAGTAAAAGCATTTGCAAAATAATTGAGCATATGAGCATTTGCTTTATAAACTTGTCACATTCTAGGAGTTAAAAGTAGTTAGAAATATTGCATAAGTTTCGAACTAGTAGCAAGCTAGCACACGACGTTGATTATTTAGGAATTTTGTATTGCCAATATTTTAGAATGATTATTTTTAAAATTGGCACATCTCCTCAATAGACAAAACTGGAGTTTTATATGTAGAATTTAACTATACCGGTGTAGGTTGCTCCAATGCCAATAAAATAGACTCAAGGACTCGAAAAATAATCTAAAAAATTTATGAATGATGCTAGCTTCGATTATATGAATGGGAAATACGCATTTCAATTTAATGGACCATTAGAAAAATAATTAGTTCAAAACTTCAGGGTTTAAACAGTTTGATACATAAATCCACAGTTTTATCGTTTTATCTTCTTGGTTTGTTTAATGTTTAATTTTCCTGGATGAATGGAGCCGGTAAGCGGAACTTGATTTTTTGCTTTACGGCCCAAACTAATTCGTTTTTAAAACTGTTCCGTACATCAACACGCGAAAGTAACTAAGGTCAACTTTACAACGGTATTATGTATAAACACTATACTATAATAAATAATTATGTAACTTTTACTTAATTCTCAGGTTTTTACGATTTAAGTATTAATAAAATAGCACAGTTTATTGAAATAATTTATCATTACATTACAAAAATGTGGATTATCAGTTTACCAATATTTGGCTAACTCGATTTGTATTTTTGAACCTGCAGTTTGTCAAAATTTTATACAAAATAAACATTATAAAATTTGTAAACACTTTTTCGCCAAATCATTTACATGAGAATTATTTTGCTCCAATCTTCTTCATTGCTAGTTGCAGGTGTACGGAACACAAGCTAGATTATAAAATTAGCTATTTGCAAGTAGTATGTTTCAATGCTGCTGTAAAAACCGCAAAATTTACGGCGTTTTCAACATTGACCCACAATATCCGACTACTTATATTTGATTCTTATTGCTTGATTAGATTCAGTGTGTTGCGAGGTTTGTTGGGTATAAATTTAAGTTGAAGTTTAAACATTTTCGGGTGGCCTCAACCATTTTAGTGCAAACAACCTTCATATGTGCAAACATCCTGGTATCAATGTGTTTAATAGAGAAGTAAATCGGATGTCGTTTACAAACATAATTATGTCTTATTTAATGTATAAGTGTTGCAAATGCGTAATTACAAAGACATGTAAAAACAAAACGCACAATACAGAATCTAACATATAAATTTAGCAAATTGCAACACGGTATTTAATTTCCTTTTTTTAAGCAAATTGAAGTAATGTTTATTCAAGCCTTAAGTGATAACCTTCATTTTATAAGTAGCACGGCCTATATAACTGAACAAAGTTGAAAATCTAATAAAAGTAAAATAACCTACCGTAAGAGCTTTTAGATAAAACGTTTCGACGCATCGTTTGCAATTAATTTTTTAACTTTAGATTAAGGGTGAAAATACTTCTGCCATAATTCTAAAAACTGAGTTCACTGGAAGCTTTACGATCTAAATATTTCGGAGTTAATGCTCCGGATTTAAAAGCTTTCGAGGTTATTGGGTGCACTTAATGAAATTGTCTATATATTTTACACTTTTTCATGCTTCAATTTTCATTGGCTGACTGTTCAAAAGTTTTTAACAACGACACCATAAACATATCAAGCTAGAATGAGACATGCAGTGAAGAAAAAAATATTTTTTATAGAGTTTTATGAGATATAAAAGGAGGAGTTAGCAAGTAGAGAAAGATCAAGGTTCATCTTTCGTTAATTTACATTCTCTTCATACTTCTTACAGCAGAGCGTTAGAACCTTCGAATTGGCCAAATACAAAACATAGTCTGATCTAACTCGAAAATTATGGTTAACAGTAAATATTTAGGATTCTAGGTTTTATCGTCTTTTCATCTTTTTCACCTGTGTCATGGATGAAAATAAACTGAGCATCATTGAAATTTTTATGGGTTGCCTTGTGCGCCTCTTAAACTCGTTTAAGTGTCTTAAATTATATACACAATACAAGCAAATTTTCGTCGAAAATGCCAAGATGTACCCCGTTTGCGGTTTATATTTATCATGAGTTTTATAGTTTAGCAGATGTATTTACGAACTTCCAGACCCATTCATCCAAAATCCAAAACCGACTAATAAACTATTTAAATTAAGTGCAAATTGTGGTATCATAATTATCAATTCATTGGAAGAAGTTTTAAAAATCTAGTAAATAAATTTGTTTGGTGTCTAAATTGAATTTATTGGTGTGAAACTGGTTGAATAATATTCATTAGCTCAGATTTATTGAGTCTCACATGTAAACACATTCATGTTATAAGATAATATTGCCAAAAACCTTAAGCTACAAGCTATTTGAAGAGTACATTAAACTTTTTTTAAACCGCACTACTAGTTCTGAAGCATAATAAAGCCCACAAAAACAAATCAAAGCTGCTAATATGGGTAATCGTTAATTTTAGAAATGATTGGTTTGCTGCTAATACGTATTACAGATACCTGCTTGAAAAAGAAAATATTTTTTCGCCAAATTCCATTACCGTTTGTATAAGATTTTACGCGAGGCAATGTAACAATAAATCTGTATTTATGAAGTGACGATTCTTTTAGACCGACCTGTCTTAAAA